GTCCGTCCTTCTTCTGCTGCTAACTACTGCAGCTTTGTCGTCAGGCTCCATTTCTTCGAGCCCGAATCCACTTTTCTCTCCCGTCCGTCTGCCTCTTTTGCATTGGCAACTCCGAGCCTCCGATCTCTAGTCTCTGAGTGAAGAGTACTGACACCATGGGCGCCCAAACGGAGATTATTACTATTATCAACAACTCGGGGAAGGTCATCAGCACGGTAGGTCTTGTGCTCCTGTTGTCGCCGTCAAGGCTCGGCTGACCCTGTGCGAGGGCAAACAACTCGTCTCCATCTTCAAAGAAGCCCAGGCCGCTTACCGCGACCGCCGCGATGCCATCAAGGCCGAGCGCGGCGTCCAGCGCGCCAAGACCTTTGACGCGAGCAGCCCGCGCGCCCGCAGCAGCGTCGGCGGCTCCAAGGATGACGATACCCGCTCGCGCATGTCGAGGTCCAAGACCTCGCCCGTGGAGCCCCCGCCGCGGGCCCCGTCCCCCGCCCGCACGCTGCTGACCGAGGAGAACCTGCGCGCCCTGACCGAGATCAACGCCACTTCTCCAAGCAGGGCGGCTTCGGCGGTCGGCGGCCCCGCCCCGTCGACTGCTTCCGCGCGGCAGCTGCGTCGGCAGCAGTTGTTGCAGCGGCGGCGGTCGGATCCATCGCTGAATCGGAAGAAGAGTATCGACGATCACCTCGCCTACGGCGACGTGCCCCCCGATCTGGAGTCCCGCGTCGACCTGGACACCCGCAAGGGGCATAATGAAACGGCTGCCTCCGAGGAGGCACAGCTCACGCCGCAAGAGGAAAAAGCGCTTAATCTCCTCGACAAAATCGAGGATTTCCTCGAGGAGGCCCAGTGCATGCACCAGACGGCGTCCGCGATGATTGATAACCTGCAGAAGAAGCCGGAAGCGGCGGCCGCCGTGGCTCTGACCCTCGCGGAGCTGAGCTCCATGCTGGGAAAGATGAGCCCCAGCTTTTTGGCGTTCTTAAAGGGCGGCAGTCCGGCGGTCTTTGCCCTGTTGAGTAGTCCGCAGTTCTTGATCGGAGCGAGCGTCGCGCTGGGCGTGACGGTGATCATGTTCGGGGGGCTGAAGATTGTGAAGAGGATCAAGGAGATCGGGGGGAGGGCGATGGAGATGCCTTTTGCGGCCGCTTCTACGCCGGCGGCGACGGCCGCCCCTGCTGATGGCGTCTCTGCCGGGGTTACTGCAGCTCCCGGACATGATCAGAATCCGGCGGAACCCCCGCCCCCGTACGACGAGGCTGTCGTGCTGAAGGATATCGAGGAAGGCCTCTCGCGCATCGACGCCTGGCGGAGGGGGATCCCTACGTTCAGCGAGACTGAGCAGGCCGATCTCGAGGCGATGGCGCGCGAGGCGGAGGAAGCGATGCGCGAGCTGCACTTTGAGGGGTGCACTGATGAGATTGATCCGAGCGATAGCGTGTCGCAGGTGAGCCGGGCGCCGAGGTCGCGTTATTCTTCTGCTGCGGACAGGCATCATCATAGCGCACGGTCGACGTACAAGAGTTATAAGAGCAGGAGGGAGAGGAAGCATCGGGAGGAGGAGGAAAGAGAGAAGGATAAGAAGAGGAGGGATAAGGAGAGGGAGAGGGATGGGCGGAGTGAGGTTAGCGTGCGCAGCTCATCGCGCAGAGACAAAGATCGCGAGGAGAAGGAGAGGGATGGACGAAGCGAAATCAGCGTGCGCAGCTACCGCTCCTCGCGCGACAAGGATGCTAGATCGGAGGTCTCGCACCGCAGCAGTCGGGAGAAGGAGAAGCGCGAAGACTCGAGCTACTACACGACCAGTGCGAAGAGCGAGGTTAGTGTGAGGAGTTTGAGGAGGAAGAGTTATGACGATGCGTCGGTTGTGTCGTCGAAGTCGCGGAGGGAGTATGTCAGTGAGGTGGGCAGTGCCGTGGGGGCGCCGCCGGCGCCGAAGCCAAAGGAGAAGAAGAGGGAGCTGATTAAGCAGCTGTTCAAGATGAAAAAGGAGAAGGAAGAGCAGGGGAGGGCTATGTCAGTTGTACGTTGAGGGAGGAAGGCGGATTACACGAGGGAACACAGGACCAACGTTCATATGGCATGAACAAGCAGGATGAGCATGAGCATGAACATCGAGCATAAGCATGAGATATGAGGGATGAACTGCAACATTTTGGATATGATGGATGGATGGTACATGATTCGGTTGGCTTTTTGTGATTTTTGTGAGTTTCGAGTTCGTTTGCACACTGCTTTGCTTTCGGATGCACCAGATTGGACATCAGCATTATTTTTTTTTTTCCAGACAGACAACTGAGTTTTAAGAGCATTGGATTTAGCACAGTTCACTTTTTTTTTTTTGGATATAACAGATTACAGCAATTACAGAAATGAAATGAGTCGGCCAAGTTGGCCCTATAAATTTTGGCTTGTTTCTGTTTGGCGCTCGTTTGGATTGTCTTAGTCTTTCCGGTTGAACAGTTTAGCTTGCCCTATGTGAAGTGTAAAAACACTTGAATGTTCCCCATGAACCTGCCCTGTGGTGATGATGATCTCAGAGCCGGGCGTTTGGGTCCCCGTCCTGACTTCCGTTAATCGACAAAGTGCAACCACCAGACTTGTCTCGTCATGGAGAGGAAGCTACGAGGAATAAGCCCTTATAAAGGAGCCGTTGGTTGAGTCCAGAACTTCGTCCATATTAACAAAAACAACACAAACCAGAGAATCGGTCACGAACAAGACATTGTTCATCAACAAACATCACAGCATCAAAAAAGTCGCGCAGTTGACATTCATCATCATCAACAACACATCAACCATTTACCATGGGCTCCAACCAGACTTCCAATTCCTCCAACAGGACCTCCAACGAAACATCTAGCGAGGTCCCCGTCCAAACATCTAACCAGACTCCCAACCAGCGCTCCAACAACAACACCCAAAACCCCTCCGCCAAAGCTCAGCCCAAGGTTGACGATGTATTTGCCTTCCCCCACCCAGCAGGCGACGGCATGCGTCGCTACATGGCCCCTTCTCTCTTCCAGCCGCATAATGCTCGCCAGGCGATTCGAGATGCGCATGCCAAAAAGATCCCCCCACTCATTGGGTACTATGCCGGCCTGAGCTCGATTGCCATTACCCGGTTTGTGGCGCCCATGGGGTTTGACATGGTGTGGATTGACTGGGAGCATACAAGTTGTGGGGTTGAGAGGATGACTACCGTGCGTCATTCATGAGTATCATCTTTATAAGACTTGTTCGTGGGAAAAGGCGATAGCAGCTGACCGGAACAGATGGTACATGAGATCATGTTCATGTCCGGAGGGCGCACGATCCCCTTCGTCCGGTACGTTCTTCCCCCCCACACAACCCTCTCTCCCCTTCCCCTCCTCCCCCCCCCCTCCCCCAACCCAAAAAAAACAAAAAAAAACAACAACAACAACAACAACAACAACAACAACAACAACAACAACAACCATCCAAGGATATCTAGCTTCTGACCTAAAATTCCCGCAGCATCCCTGGAAACGACCACGCTTCCATAGGCTACGCTCTCGACGCCGGCGCATCCCTTATCATCCCCCAAGTCGAGACTCCCTCCCAAGCCCGCCACGCAATCGCTGCCTCCAAGTTCGGCGCCTCGCAAGGCGGCACCCGCTCCGTGCCCCCCTTCCGCCTGATCCCCGGTCTCACCGACCTGCCCGCCGACGGTTTAGACTCAGGCCGCGACGTCTGGAAGAACTGGAATGACCGCGCCGCGGTGATGATCCAGATCGAGTCCCTCAAGGGGATTGAAAACCTGGACAGTATACTAACCGAGGTGCCGGAGATAGATATCGTGTGGTTAGGAGCGCTGGACTGCAGGGTAAGCATGGGTCTGAGCGCGAACTTAGGGATGGGGGAGGAGAAGGAGTGGGTGGAGGCGGTGGAGAGGTTTAGGGAGGTTTGTAAGAAGCATGATAAACCGATGGGGGGTTTCTGTTTTGTGGGCGGAGAGAATATGGTGAAGATGGCGAGGGATTATAGCTTGTTGGTGCATTGTGCGGATGTGCTGAAGTTGTATGAGATGTTTGGAGCGCTGGTGGAAGCGAGAGGGGTGTTGATGAAGGCGGGGATTGGGGCAAACTAAAGTCAGCGATTATTTAAGGGGAGACGGGGGATTGTAGGGGGTGGTTGGATCGAGAAGAGCATGACTTAAGATGGTCTTGTAGAAGGGTTCAGTTGGGTTGGGAGTATTGAGAGGAGGAGCTTTGAGAAGGACCGTTGTTGTGCTTTAGTTACCGACACCATTCCTACCTAGGGGTTATGATCAAAGGAGAGAGAGGCTTATCGTCACAAATGTTATCAATTTCATTTTTCGCACCGTACAGCTTATCTTATCAGCATTTTCATATGACTTTCGTCCAATCATCGTCCTGCGTAAATCCAAATCAGGCAAGCGGAGATCCCAGCTACCTCGTCTGAAAAGTTCTTCCGGCCCGAGACCCCACTTTCCCGTCGCGCACGGTCTGCCATCTTTCCCGTCCGTTGCCCTTATCACCATCCGTCTTCCGTAAAGGGGGATGGACATTGGTTGCCAACTAATTCAAGAATTAGTTAGCAAAAACGCCTCTTCGTAGGGGCTTTACCATACGGGACATCCATCCATCGAATGATACCCGGCGGGAACGTGGGCGCGTTGGGAATGTGGCACAATCGTAGATACCTAGCTACCAATACTTTCTCAAGGAGCTTGGAGGATTTGTCCCTTAAATGAAGCAAAACGTTCCTTCTTCACTTCGTTGTGTGTAGAGCACACCCTTAGCGCTCGACGATTGAAGCTTCGCTTTACACAACGGTGCTTGAAAGCAACGAATGCATTGCACGAAGGACGAAATAATTTGTTGAGCCTGATAGCAAGGAAAATGTTGCAAACGTTGACGTTCACAATCTCTGTAGCCAGATATACCGTATGGCCGTCGATAAACCTCCACAAGAATTCATGAATGGTCCTTTTGAACAACAGAAATGAGAGCAGAATCTCGGTCTGCACATATATGGAACAGCCCTGAGCCAAGGGGGGGGGGGGAAGCCAGGAGCAATGGCAAAAGAGGGATGTGCAAGTGCATGTAAGTAGAATCACTGTGAGATGAGAAGTATTATCATTCCATTGCCCTTTGAACCAACCTATAACTTGAATCCAAGCATGTCTATGTGGAAACCCTGACTCGAACGGTTACATTCCCACAATCCCAAAAATCATACCCGAAAATAAACTCGATCAAAGTACCTTCAAACCACACTACTACCTTTCAACTCGAGCAATCTTTAATCCCCCTTCAGCTTTGTCCACTCCCGCATTCACTTCTTAGTTTGGTCTGGGTTAACAAGTATGTTATTTCGGGAGGCAAAAAAAAAAATAAAACTACAAGAACTACATCAAGGCTAAACCAGACTGAAACCAGCAGTAGCATCAGCAGCAGCGGCGGCGACATGACTTTGCAGCGCATCCGGCGCTCTCAAGGATAGCTCTCTCGGACTGTGGCGACGGTAATGACTGTGAAGATGGAGCAGCCGAAGTTGTTTAGTGCCAAGTTTGGGTTGTATCAAAGGAGGAGGGGGATTAGGCGAAAAAATGCAGGCCATGAGGAAAAGCCGAGAACGAACCTAAACCGGGCTGCTGGCGTTGCTGCCAGTCCTTGACCTTCGGTAGGCGGACGACGTCCACATTAGCATCAGCGGCAGGCAGGGGGTACTCGGACGCGCGAGCCGGCAGTGGGGGTGGGGGCGGGAAAGGGGGCGAAGACAGGGGGCAGTGAAGTCGTAGTCGCAGTTGTGGTCAAGGTCGATGTCACACGGACGCGGCAGTCCAAGGAAAGGAGTATACCCGACTGCCAACACAAGGGACACCAGAGATAGATTGATCGTGAACGACACAAATATGTGGTTGATCCCGGAAGATATATGGTGCCACACGACCGAATCAGCCAGATGGCCGAGGCAGGAGGACGAGACCTTTGAAAAGCCTGGAAGGCCGAGGGACTCACAAGGGCAAGAGGATTCTATAAAGGAAGCTAGCCGGACACGATGAAGGACTTCTCTTGGTTTTTTTCTTCCTCTTCCCAATACAAGGACACTGTTGGATGTAAAAGAAAATGGTGGATGTGGATGGGAGCATTTACTTGTCCGTTGCCCTACAGAACACGCGGCCCTGAGGGAATCTGTCAAGCACAATGGGTGCCGCAGAATAATAACGCTCTACCTTCTAAACTACACACGCGTGAAGATGGATGAGCATGGCTCTTATATATAAGGTCAAATGTGCACCTGACCTCAGTGGAGCCCAGGCTGACTGAGGCAGGTCAACGGTGACCACACCGTGGGCACTTGCGGCTAACAGACGCCGAGGACCAAAAAAGATTATTACACGCATTAATTGACTTCTTTGTGCACCTCACATCGTCAATGGCCATCATCTAACCCATTTGATTCATTGTCGATCCCTGCCTGCACCAGACCAAGTCACCCGTTACAGTCGAGGTTTTAGGCTAGCAGCGCCTTCGCTCTCGCACAGCTGGCGGCCGGGTGGTGGTGGTGGCCGCTCGTCCGGCGGAGAGTGAAGTAGGTAACACTAGACTCGAGCAGGAGCAGGTTAGCCATCTTAATTTTCGTTATGTTGAAAAAATCAGATAAAAAGCAAGGGGTGACGAGCTGGGATAGGGGTAGGAGGTTGTGGTGAGTGAAGCAAGTCAATCCGGGATTTTCTGTAAGCTGGGGGAAAAGCTTGCGAACAGAAAGTTGAAATGCGAAAAGGATTGATTGTGTGTGAATTAGGGCCCTATTCTCTGTATCGAAGCACTGAACACGGTGTTGAGAATAATAAAAGGGTGCAAAACCGTTGTGCTATTGATTGAGGCTCCCTGTAAGGGAAAACCATCCTCCTGTCACTCGCTCTCTACCTTGAACTCTTCAATCCACGGGTTGTTTATCCACAACCTCCGTACATATTCTCCCTATTAACCTCGTACTACATGTAAAACTCCCATAAAAAGACCCCATACTTAGCTTTTTGCTTGACACAATCCTTGAAAGACAACTAATTCCTATTGTTCGTCGTGTCCTTGAACTTGTATTCCTGCCAACCAGTCCCAGCGTCTAAATCCATGTCCCTGAAGCGCCCTCCCCCACCCTCGCGTACTACCTTTTCCAGTCTGTCCCCGTTGTAAATAAACTCATCATCAAAGGCGAAAGCACAATACGAGATCAACAGCGTATGCCTAAATACGGGACATCAGCGATCTCTCCTCATACTCCCACTCTCCTATTCCCAGACCTGGGTCAGCTGCCAGATCCTCTTCTGAGCGTTCTTATCTACTTCCTGGGTTGTCGCATTCGTGTCCCGGCCCCCTCCTCCTCTTCGGAGCCGATATACTTCTGCAGTATCGTGATAGACTCTTCGATCTCGCTAATCATCGTCAACGAATTTACTTTGGGCGTCCTCGAGCATTTTTTAGCCGCTCTAAAATCTCTAAGTGCAGCTTATCTTCTGTCAGCAGCATGTCGTCCTTAGGCGGCGGGGGGGATCCTCTTCCTTGCCTAAGTCGTGGTATTGCTGCATGGCATCGATAGACCTGGCAACCTGCAAAGTCACTTTATGCACTCGCTGCTGGAGTTTGTGGTAACATTCATCGCGAGCTTTTTCTGTAAGCCTCGAGAGAGCCTTCCAGCTGTTCATAGAGAAGCTTGACTTCATTGCGAGTGAAGATTTTTTCCATGACAGTGATTTGGTTCGGTCTAGGCAAGGAAGTATGGCTTGAAGTCCGAATTGAACCATGTTAGAAACCACTCTGTGAAGGGACTCAGTGTCGGAACCGGAATCCGATATGTTGGCAGTAGGCCTAGAATGTGACTCAGAATCGGACGTGTTGGCGATGTGGTATGCATCGCGACGATAGTGAGAATTGCTGGATTGATATCAGAACTTGGGGTTACAACAGTGAACTGTAGCTTACCTGAGCTGGAAGAAAAAATGGCTGCAGAGAGAAATGTTGCAATGAGCACGAGGAAAGTTGGCATATGTGTAGCACAAGGTCGATATTCGGAATGAGTCTGAGACTGCACGTGCTCTTTGGAGCTCACAAGGGCTGAAGGACCATTGCGGTTACCTGAGCACCATAAAATATTCTTCCAGATTGCCCGAATTCATGAATCTTCACAATGTGGTTCCCTTGTGCGTGTGATCATCTCAATGACCAGTCTCTTTGTCCCGGATAGCCTCTTCCACATGTTCTTGATATCCTCCAGCTTCGTACAGAAGGTCTGAATCTCCTCTTTGGCTGATTTTTTTGAGACTTTGAAGAAATGCATCGATTTTCTGATCAACACTCCCTCCTTTTCCATCCGAGACACCCAAATCCCAAACCCCTCAGCCGGAAAGCCAACAAGCTCCAGCATTGCCTGAGCCCCAGGCAGCGGGGAAACATTGGCATCTGCTGATTTTAATGCACTGTCCTGTAATACCCGTTCTCCTGCAGGAGCATAGGCGTCAACAAGTTTGCTAAGGGAGGTAGAAGCGCGAGGATACTCGCTTCTAAGGTGCAGTATCTTGGTTTTTGTCTCCCTCTTCTGACTGACGTAGTTGGAGTAGGCTTGCTGGAACTCTTTTGCTGTTTGCATGGTCTTATAATCTTCGCTTGCTGATTTTGGACCACCGGCTCCGGCTTTCAATTCACGTCCTTGAGTTGGTCAGTACTGTTGACTGAAGCATTGTCCACGACGGATCGGGGCAAGTCATGGTCAGCTCCTTGGGAGATACTCTGGGAAGAATCAGGAATCTTAATGTTGTGACAGGGACAGAGATATTAAGATGTGGAAACATAGTAGGAATGTGCGCAGATTTCAAGATGTGGAATTTTCGACAAAGTGTGTGAAAATTTCCACCATTAGACCCAATCAGAAATTTTGATCCTCCATGATGGGAGGTACGCTAGGCCAGACTCTTGAATTGAACTCTTTTGTCTCTCCCAGATAAGATCGCGGGAACATGTCCAGATTTGTGACCTGTCTTCCACCCGTAACTAAGTACATGCAATCCCTCCTGCAATTCATTCTCCCCATGCTCCTCCTTATGAGCCTAGATTTGCGCTTGGG